ACAATCACAGTCCCGGGGAAGGAAGATAAAGTGAAGCTTACGGACTGATACACAGTTCACTGGTCTCACCCAGCTAAAAGCACCTCAAGTCAGGCAACCATCAGAGTTTTAAAGATGCAGAGAATAGGTGACACCCCTGCAGATGAAAAGGATCGGTACACTGCACCCTCAGCCATGGGAAAGGGGGCGGGGTTGGTTTTTCTGGGCATCGTATTTCAGCCAGGTCAATAGTGAAGCCAATATTAACAGATACTGGAACCAAATCGGTCTTAAGCGGTCATCAAACATGACGTGTCTTCTGAAACATGGGGTAGAGCGTGCGAGGCAAGAAATCCATTTTCTGGATTTGGCAGTAGCCTCTGGAGAAACAGTTCAGGGAAGTTCTCCAGGCCAATCAAATACCTGCATTTTGGTCCAAAGTGATAGGTTGGTCTTAAAAATCCTTGTGGAGCATAAATTCCTCGTGACGGAGTTTTCCATTATGACTGCTTTCTTGGGGAGCAGAAGTCTTCAAGTACTTTTTCGTGAGGGACAGGACGGCCTGGCCTTGGAAGACAGCTGACTCGGTTTAGTATGCGGTTGTTTCCAGCCCTCCCTCCTGAAAACACGATTCGCTGTCCAACTACCTTCTGATCCTGGGTGTTGCAGAGAAGCCTAAAGCAGTGGGCTTTTATTCTTGCAGGGTAACTCGCTTTTTTTTTTTTTGCCTTAATGCTCATAAGATCTGTTCTCTACCTCCCTGCAATAGAAAAATGTTGCCATTCGTTTTTCTTGGGATGTAGTAACCCTTTTGATCTGTGTATTCAAGCACTTATTCACCTCTGGAAACACTTGCTAAAGCAAGTCTTCAGCTGTTGAGTCTTTATTTCCACAGGCGCATGAGTCTTAGATTTCATTTTATCCCCTCTCCTGTCTCCCATCTCTCATGCCGGGCCAATGCTGTCCATCCCTCCCGCTGGTCGGGGTTCTGGGAGCATTTCTCAGGATGGTTCTTTAAATCAGTCACTGACTTGACATTCGGCAGCATTCTCTAGAATATGGATTTGAATTCCATTGTTGCATCTTCAACCTTTTAATCCCTCATTTCTTGATTCTCCCTGCCTCAAATTCTGACTCAGACACACTGAGCTCTAAACTCCTCAAAATTCCGGCCATTCCCTCACCTCAAGGGCTTCACACGCACTGTTCTTTTCCCCAGAACACGTTCCCCCTCACTTCGTCTGGCAGATGCCTACAATTTCCCGGGACTTGAGCTTCAGCACCCTTTCACACGGGAAGCTGGCCACTGCTCCCGGGGTGGGATAGGGGTCCTCCTGCATCTGCTGCGCCTGCCTGTTCCACCGCATCTGTTATCACACAGATCACACGGGGTTGTAAGTGCCTGTTCCCCTGTCTGGCTGCCCCACTAGGCTCCTGAGGGCAAGAACCATGGTGACTTTATTCATCTCTGTATTCTCAGACCCTAGCACAATTCCTGACACTCAAAAGTATTTTTTGCCTATAATATCACTCCCTTCCTATCACACCTAATTGTCATTTTTACTCTCAAGAATTCTTCTGCTATATATCCTAAGAAGCCTGAAACACCAATCAGAAAGAATATACGCACCCCTATGTTCATAGCAGCACTATTTACAATTGCTAAGATCTGGAAACAGCCCAAGTGTCCATCAATAGATGAGTGGATTAAAAGGCTGTGGTACATATACACAATGGAGTACTATGCAGCTGTAAGAAAGAGAGATCTCTTATCCTTTGAGACTACATGCAGGGACCTGGAGAGTATTATTCTAAGCGAAATAAGCCAATCAGAGAAAGACAAATACCATATGATCTCACTTATTTGTGAAACATAATGTACAAAAAAAGCTGATGAACAAAACAGATCCGGAGAGATGGAAAAGAGTATGGTTCAGACTGACAGACCTCAGAGGAGAGGGGTGGCATGGGGTGGGGGGGATGAGATAAACCACAGAACTTATATGCATGTATGCATAACCAATGGACATAGACAACAATGCTTGGGGACGGGTGGGGGAGGAGGGTGTCTTCAGGGAAAAGGAGAAACATCTGTAACAAAAACAAATTAATAAAAAAAATTCTTCTGCTTTTATTCATGGCGGGTGGTTTAGGGATGCCAGTTTCACTTCTAGAGATCTCTCTTCCTCTGAATGTTCAAATGCATACTCCCTTTCTCGTGTTTGACATCATTTTTTCATAGACGCCATGTTTCTCTTCCTCCTCTTCTCCTTCCTTCTCACCCTCATCCTCCAACAAGAGAAATAAATCCAGACCTGGTGTCTGCTAATAAACGCAGCATCGTAATTGCTCTTTGCCTCACTCTTTGTCTACCGGGCTGCATTTTAAATCTTCTCAAGCTAAAACAGACTGCTACGCATGACTCCTGTCCCCTTCCCCCTTGTCTACATCTATCGCGCACTTCTAGAAGCCAGGGGACATACCTTCCCCCTGCTACTGTGGGTATTTAGTTCGAAGTTGGAAGAAATTCCCAACACAGTCGATGCCATTTTAAACCAAGATTCTCTGACCCTGTCTTTTTAAACAAATCTCAGGGACAAAGACATTTAGATAATTTTGGAAAGAATCCTTGAACACACTTTAGAAGCCCTGCTGATGTCCTATATATTATATTAGTTTCTCATCAAAGAGACCTAAATATTTAAGGTCTATTAAACAGCTGAGGCTCATATACAATAAAGCACAAGTCGGCCAACAGTGCAGTGTTTTCAAACACCAAGTAAGCTGGTGGAGAGGAGGGGCTGCCAGAAAACCAACCGCAGGTGTCGCCATCTACTGGATTTCAATATAATCTCAGGGCTGGGAAGAGTTTCCATTCGTTCAATACAAGAAAGTTTATTTTTTAAAAACTTGCATCTGCTTCCTGCTAAGGGAATTCAGGTCAGGATAATTTCTTTTCAGATAAGATCTCACAGATAACTAAAGTGACTTATGGTTGATTAATGCAGATGCAGAAAAAAAAAATCAGTAATGGTACTATTTAAGGTCCTTTTGTAAAAAGCAATTAACATATTTGTTGGGGTTTCAGAGAAGTTAAACAGACCATATATAACTGCCACGTGCACCTCACAATTTTGTGATACATACTTCCTGAAGAGTTATGTAAAAAAAGGTTTAAAAATGAGCATATATTTCAGACCAGATGAATTTTAAAAGAATACCATGTGAATGTTTTAAATGAAGATTATTTAAAAACTTGTACCCATGTATTTTATGGTAAATTTTCATTTTTTAAATCTTTGATTTCTTTAAATTAGGTATATCTATCCCTTTGTCTTAACTCTTTACAATATCAATTTATTGAATAAAAAGATAGTAATGTAGTACTATCTAATTTATTTTTAAATAAAGACATGAAGACACAAGAATATTAGATCATTTCAGAACATTTGGGTTTTATTTTTTTACTTTGAAAGTTAGTATTAACTGACAATGGCTTTTATACATTCCAAATGAGTATTTTCCTCACCAAAATCAAGGTAATTTTATAACATTTACTTTTCCAGCTCGAGCTCCTCACCTTCTCATTGTCATGTGGATGTCCTGCCACCTTCGTAATATCAGAATGTCCCCTATTACATGGAGAAAGCAAGCTGGAGCCTAAGAGAATAAGGCCTCAGACAGAAGCAAAGAAGAAAGTTGGGGGTGCCCACACTGGTGTCATTCACATCCTGATTCCAGTGGTGCTGTAGCTTCCTGTCCCCACAACACTGCCATTCCTGAAGTCACATGAACTACCCGGATACACTTCAAAACATCCTCTTCTTGCCAAGAAGTTCTGGTGCATTTCTACCATTTGCAACTGAGTCTTCAACAGTATAACTGTTTAATATTACAAAGCTATGAAGTTAGGCATAATTTTTATAAAAATTGTTTAAAATCTTGTATTTACATAATACTACACAATTTTCTAAATTCTTAGACACATTATCTCTTTTGATATGCAAAAACAATTGGGTAATACTGGTAAAGCAGTATATATTATCTGTAATTTTAAAATAACAACAAAATCCCTGGCAGGTCTGGCTCAGAGGTTAGGGCATCGGCCTGAGGACCAAAGAGTCGAGGGTTCGATTACCGGCACATACCTCATTTGCAGTTCAGTACTGGTCCTGGTCAGGGTCATGTGGGAGGCAACCAGTCAATGTGTCTCTCTCACATAGATGTTTCTCTCTTTCTCTCTCTCTCTCTCTCTCTCTCTCCCTCATACTCTATCTGAAGATGAATGGAAAGATATCCTCAGGTGAAGATTTAAAAAAATAACAACATAAATGTTGTCTTTGTGAATAAAACAAAGAATCATTTAAATTTTGCCTGCGATCACACAACTAACAAGTGCAAAACTATAGTTCAACTCCAGCCCCTGACTCCAAATTCAGCGCTCTAAATGCACACTGCTGGTCTGCTGATTCCTGACCTAGTGCCCAAGGCTCCCTTTACACCTATGTACACGTGTCAAGTATTCTGGAGACTGGTCCTTGAAAGGAAACCTTTCCACAATGTAAATCTACCTTCTAATTGGTCTACTTGTAAATGTGATTTTTTAAAATAGTATTTCCTTAATGCAAGGTATACTCGTGCTGCAATTATTTTACTTACTGAAAGCTAACAAAGAATTAGTGCCACCTTGTGGCAAAAACTTATAAATTCAAGTGCTACTATCAACCCATTTTCAGTTGAAAGACTGGTCCAAAGGCCTTATGCACTTCACTAAGTAGTGAAGACAACACCTACACTTCTGGGGGGGGAAATCTATGGTCATAATTAGATCTCTCAGGGAAACATACACGTCACTTACACAAACGACAATATTTGTACCATTGCTAATATGAAACCAAAGCTTCTGCGATTTAAGCGCAGACCCACCCCATGATATATAACTCTTCAGAGCCTGGGGCCTGACACTTAAGGTATAGGAACCTAAAAGAAAGACTCAACAACGCGCCCACCCTACTTCCAAAATGATGTCTGTGGGGCGGCCCTTGTCGCTGCGTGGACCGAGGGTCCTCCGAGGGGCCAGCAACAGCGCAGTAAGTACAAAAGAAAGGCGGGAAAAGTAGGCCAGGCTGCAAAGCGCCGCGGCAGCCCGCCCTGCAGCGGGAGACGTGGCGGTGCCGGGAGACGCCAGGGACGCCCTTGCCCGGCCCTGGCACGTTAACAGAGCTGGGAGCCCGGGAGCCACGTGTGTGCAATAGATCGTACGTGGACAGTCTGGGACAGCGACGCAGCGGGAGGGCAGCAGGACAAACAACCAGGAAGACCCCCTATGGAGCGGGAGCACGACGGGGAAAGGCGCCAACACCAGCCCTGAAAGCCACATTGAAAAGCGCGGCTGGGGACCGCCGCCACGACTCCCGAAGGACGCCGCAGAGGGCGCCACGCCCACCTCCCTGCTCGGAGAGCTGCTCACGCGCAGGCGCACCGGCCCGGAGGCGCGGGTAGGCGGAGTCAAGAGCCGGTCGTGCCGCAGCCTTCCCACGAATCCCGCCCCTCCGAGCTGCCTGGAGGTCCCGCCCCCGGCGGAACTCGCGGTTGCTGGGCAACCGGTGCGGGCGCCGCCGGCGGGCTCTGCGCTCCCTGGAGCAACCCGAGTGCAGCTCCCACCTCTTGCCCTGGCGACTTCCCTTCCCGCCCGCTTCCTTTCTTGCCGCGTCTCCTTGTGTCCTGCAGTCCCTGCCCTTGGCACCACGTAAACCTCTCCGGCTCCCGCGACGCCTTAGCGCCCACCTGCTTCCAAGCCAAGTTCCATCGAAAACGAAGTGCTTCGAGCCCAGACGTGGTGTCCACGCTGACTGACCGCGCCTCTCGGACCATGGGCACCTTCACCTACACCTACACCAGCCGGCCGCGGGCCCCGCCCTGCCAGCGCCGCCGTTATCGGGACCAGGTGTTGCAGCCGTGAGTGAGCCCGCCGGCCCTGTGTGTCCGCCTAACCCGCATCCTGGCCCTCGGCCCGCGTAAAGCCCGCCTTGGCTGCTTTCCCTCCTCCGCACGCTGCCCAAGAAAAATTCCTCCCCTGAGAACCCTCGCGTGGTGTGGAGGAATGAAGGCAGAGGCATGGGTGGCCTCCCTTATTTCACAAAGTTTGAGTCATCTAGTGTGTATTGTTGGCCAGCCATGAGGCACCTTACTAGGAGCATTTGCGTACATTTTCTTACTGAGGCCACAGGGCTGTGAAGTTGGTTTTATAACTCCGTTGTGCAATAAGGAAACGGTTACAGAAGTGTCACATACAATGATCGTACGTCTAAAATGAGAGCCGCATTAGTCTTGGGTCAAGAATCAGGTCATCCTTTCATTCTGGACCCAAAATTGTATTTTTACATTAATCATTATTTGCAAGTATTCAATATCCGTAGAAAGGACCGTTATGGTTCTCTTGAAGTGTTTTCCTTAAGCCTCAAATTTTGGCATCAGCAGAACTTCCCAAGAATGAAGGCCATGGAAACAGGAACCTTTGTGTCTTTTGCTCAACCAGGACCATGCCTGAGACATAAAAAGCACACAACACGAATTGCTGAATTAATGATTGAACATCAGCGATGTAACTCGATACTTATTTCAAAAACTGAGTCCAAATTCATAATTATCTTATTCTGGCAAAGACATTTTTTTAAATTTTCTTTTTTCCTTTATTGATTTTAGAGAGAGAGGAAGTGAGAGGGAGAGAGAGATAGAAACATCAATGAGAGAGAACATCGATTGGCCACCTCTTGCATGCCCCACACCAGGGACTGGGCCCACAACCTGGGTATGTGTCCTGACAAGGATTGGAACCCACAACCTCCTGGTGCATGGGTCGATGCTCAACCACTGAGCCACACCGGCTGGATGACAAAGACATTTTTTAATAAATAGCTATCACTTTTAAGAAAACCAAAATAGAAAATTTAAACTTAGGGATTATTTATATTATAAAAGGATTCAATTTCAAAAGATATTTTTTTCAAAAATACTTTCTGGAAGTAGTTGCTTATAAATCATTACTATTAAATCTGACCAACAGATGAAAGATGAATCATCAGTGGTTCATTAGGGAGATTTTTTAAATATATAAAGTTAGTTGATAAAGTTGCAGAACTTTGCTTATATTGAACTAACCCATTGATTCAAGCTATTGGAAGGAGTGTGGTGTATGTATGTATATTTAATTTTTCAGTTTAAAATTATTCTTATTGGTAATTTTCAATTTACAAAAGAAATATTTGCTTTTTGAAACAAATGAAAAATATAAAATAAGGATGAATATAGGCAATGTTAATTATTTCCCTCCCACGTCTACTCCACTTCCCAGTTATAACCAAATTTAACAATCTTATATTACTATTCTACACCTCCTTCTTGTACACACACACATATATATGAGCATATGTACATTTATGTAGAAAGTTTAGTTCCAAAATGGAATCATACTACACATATTAATCTGCAGTTGGCTTTTTCCTCTTTTTTACAAGCTCTAATTTCTTCTTTTAATCTTCACCAAAGGATATGTTGATTTTAGAGAGAGGAAGGGGGAGGGAGAGAGAGAGACATTAGTCGGTTCCTCCTGCAGGGACCATGACCAAGGATCAAACCCAAAGCCTGGGTATGTGCCCTGTTTAGGACTGAACCCACAACCTCTCTGTGTACAGGATGCCATTCCAACCAACTAAGCCGCACCTGCCAGGGTTCTATTTTTTTTTCTTTCTAATGTTATGTATACCTACACGTACATATTTAATTTTATATAAATATGTATTTTATTGTTATCGCCTATCATTCATGCTTGGGTGAATTCTTGGTGCCACACCACCTTCCCTTGCAAACCTGCTCTTCCTCTCCTGCCCTCGAAGTAAATCACGTTCCTGACCTGTGTGACTGCTTCTGTACTTTCTCCGCTCTCACCAGCTTATGTACAAATACATGAATACGTGCATACAGAGATGCACATGCAAGGGCTTTGTCTACTTCACAGCAATGTAACATATTATACACAATTCTCAACATCTTCCTTTCTTACTTAGTTCTTTGTGGTCATCCCTCCAATTATTTTTAATAGTATTGTAGCCCCTTATTAAAATTTTCCACTGTTGATTGATATTCAGTTTGCTTCAAGCTTTTACCACAAAGGTTTCAATAAACAACTTTATGTACTGACCTCTTTATTTTTATGAACCAGGATTGTTAGATCATATATATATACACATTTATATATATGTATATGTGTAGACATATATATAATATATATGTATCTTTTAATATGTTCTTGTTGATTTTTTAGAAAGAGATGAAGGGAGAGAGAGAGAGAAACATCTATGTGAGAGAGAAACATCAGTCGGCTGCCTCCTGCATGCCCCCTACTGGGGATTGAGCCCGCAACCAGTGCATGTGCCCTGACTGGGAATCAAGCCAGGACTTTCAGTCCGTGGGACAACACTCAATCCACTGAGCCACACCTGCCAGGCTATCATACACAGGTGGAACAATATACCTTTCCTCCAGGAATGTTTGAACATATCCTTTTTCCCGATTCCTCACCAGCAGTAGGTATTAAGGATTTTTATTTTCTTTTTAAATTTTGATAGCATAAAAACTAAACCAAAGTTTTGGCTCATTATTATATGAATTAGTACTGGGAGGCTTTAAGCAAGTAAGAGTTATGTCGGATTTTTTTCCATTCTAACAGATCACTGGCTAAAATATATAGAACAAATTGAGGGAGAAATGTTATTCCAGACAGTTAAGCGCCCTTTGCAATAAATAGTTCGGGTAAAAGACAGTGGGAGGAGTGAGCAGTGGGTAGATGTGAGAAAGATTGGGGTGTAGAACAACAGTACTTGCTGGATGTAGGGATTGGGGAACAGGAAAAAATTGTGATGACTTCCAGGCTTCTAGATTAAGCCAAGTGGGTGGTTAGTGGTACCATTGAGTGAAATAGGGAACAACTAAAGGAGTAACAAATCGGAGTGGGAGAATGATTATTAGTTAAATTTTAAGGTTGCCTTTTGAGACATCTTAACGAGATGTCATCGAACATATCAGTTGGATATACGTGCCTGGAGCTCTGAGGAGAGTTCTGAGCTAAACATGTAGTTGGGAGTGTTAGGTTTACAGATCATAAGTGAAGCCCTGAGAATGGATGAGGTCGACTAAGGACAAGAGAGGACTGAGCCCTGAGGAAACCCTCCAGGACAGGAGGAGCCATCAACATAGGCTGAGGAAAGGTCGGAGAAGGTGCAGAAAAGCAGTTGGAGGGACATGGTTATATCACAGAGGCTCGGAAGAGAGGGCTTCGCGAAGGAGCAGCCTGCTGGCGGAACACTGCCCGGAGGTCAAGTGAGATGGACAGTACCACAGGCCCGGTTCTAAGTAACATAAGTCAGGTTATCCAGTCCTGGTTTCTATATATGATAAATAAGCAACTTACTACCCTCTCAAAATCATTTCTGACCGATAGAGACTAGTATTAGCATAGATCGATACTTGGTTTCATAACCATAAGTAGAATATCATTTAAAGACGTTGAATGAAAGTATCAGCTGTATTTTTTACTATTGATCATTATGCCCCAAATTAAAATTTTATTAATATTTAAAACATAATTTTAAAAGATTTTTGAAGTTAAAGACCAATTGGAAATTGAACTTATTTTATTAAGCCTGATTCTATTAATGTAACTTTTCAGTCCTTGAATCAAACTTTTGTCAGTACTTTAGGACAGTCCCCTTTTCAGTTTTTTATGTTTGTTTTTTTGTTTTTTGTTCATCTTCACCTGGGGTTTTTTTGTTTTTTGTTTTTTTATCCTCACCCGAGGACATTTTTCCATTCTTTGCTCAGGTAGAGTGGGAGGGAGAGAGAGGAATGGAGAGAGAGAGAGAAACATCGACGTGAAAGGAACACATCGAGTAGCTGCCACCCGCACGACCGACCAGGGCTGGGGACAAACTGCAACCGAGGTACGCGCCCTTAGCGGGAACCGAACCCGGGTCTCTCAGGACCGCAGGCCGACGCTCTAACCACTGAGCCAAACCGGCCAGGGCAACCTGGGGGTATTTTTCCACTGATTTTTATAGAGAGTAGAAGGGAGGGAGAGTGAGAGGGAGAGAGAGAGAAACATCAATTGGTTGCCTCCCACATGACCCCAACTGGGGCTGGAGATTGAACCTACAACCCAGGCACGTACATGCCCTTGACCGGGGATCAAATCGAACCCACAGTTTCAGTCTGCAGGCTGGCACTCTAACTGCTAAGCCAAACCAGCCAGGGCTAACTTGAAGCTTATTATGAGCAATAAATAAAATAACATATGTGAAGGGCCTGACGTAATCAGTATTCTGGAAGTGGTAGCCATTTGTCTCCTTAGTTCGTGAACTGTGCTAAAACAAAACTGTTTCCTTAAAATATTTTCATCTTAGTCTAAGTCTTCTTAACAATGAGCTGACTTCATAGATATCAGCAGTTACTTAGAATTTGCTCTTTTACAGAGCTGATGAACCTATGCCGTATGGAAATATCATGTATGACAGAAGGGTGATCCGAGGCAACACTTATTCTCTGCATGCAGATCCGTCGGTAAGTAGAATTTGAATAGAGCTTTTCACTACATGTGGTGAAGGACCAATTTATGTGTTTGTTTGTTTGTTTGTTTTATTTCTAATCTGTTGCCGACTAAAACACTTATAAAATAAAAGTGGATTACTAGAAAAATAAATAGTCGTATAACTATTAAGGAAATTTCATCTCTAGTTTAGAAGTTTCTCCAAAAGAAATCTCTAGGCCCAGGTGGTTTTACTGGAGAATTGTACCAAACATGTGAAAAAGAATTTGCATCAGTTCTACACAATCTCTTCTAGAAAATAAGAGGAGGGAATGCTTCCCAGTTTATTGTATGAGGCCAGCATTGCCCTGATACCAAAATCAAAGATAGTAAAAACAAAATCAGAGAGTCGTAACTGTCATGGGAATGTACATACAAAAATCCTCAACAAAATATTAGCAACTAGAATGCAGCAATATATAAAAAGAGCTATATGCCGTGACCAAGTGGGATTTATTCCAGGAACACAAAAATGTTCCAGCATTTGTGAATCAATATGATCCACCATATCAACAGATTAAAAAGAAATATCCTATGATTATTCATTGATGCAGAAAAAGTATTCAACAGAATTCAACATTTGTTCACGATAAACACAACAAATTAAGAATTAAGGGGAATTTCCTCAAGTTGATGAAGAGCATCCACAAAATACATATAGCTAATATCATAATTAAAAGTGAATAAATGAGTGCTCTCCTCCTTAGACTGGGAACAAAGCAAGGACGTCTGCTCTCACCACTCTTGGTCAGCATACTGCTAGAAGTTCTGGCCAGTGCTAGATCCAGGTCAGAAAGGAAGAAGTAAAACTCCCTAATTGCAGATGACACGATTGTCTACATAGAAACCCCACTGAATCTATAAAAAGACCTAGAATTAATTATTGAGTTGAGCAATATCACAGGTACAAGGTCAACACACAAAGATCAGTCATATTTTTGAATACTAGAAAGGAACACGTGAAAACAAAATTTTAAACAGTACCATTCACAAGCACTTCAACAGCCTGGAATACCTAGGTATAAATCAACATGCACAGGACCTGTAAGATAAAAATCACAAAATACTGATGAAAGAAATGAAAGACAGTCTAAAGAAGTGGGAGTACAATCCATGTGCATGGATTGAAAGAACCACCATAGTAAAGATATTAATTCTCCCCAAATTGATCTGTAAGTATAGCACAGTTTTTATTAAAATTCCAGCAAGATTTATGTAGATCTAGACAAGCTTATTCTAAATTTCTATGGAAAGGCAAAGGAAATAAAATAAACCATTTTGAAAATAAGAATAAAATGGGAAGAATTACTCTACCCTATGTTAAGACTTACCATATATGATATTAGTAATTGTATGAAAACAGTAATTGTACTGGTAGAGGAATAGATACATGGACCATTGGAACAGAATAGAAAACTCAGAAATATACCAGCACCAATACACCCAACAAATTTTTGACAAAGGGACAAAAACAATTCAATGGAGAGAAGATAGCCTTTCAGCAAATGGCATACATAGACAAAAAAAAAGAATTAAGTGAACCACAACCTAAACCTTATACCATAAACAAAAATTAATTGAAATGATCATGGATTTAAATGTAAAACAAAACTTTTAGGAAAGAAACCTTCAGAATCTAGGGCTAAGCAGAGAGTTCTTAGATAGGATACCCAAATCACAGTCCAGAGAACAAAACATGATAAATTGGACTTTATCAAAATTAAAAACTTTGTGATTTGAAAATTCTTTTAAGAGGACAAAAAGCTACAACCTGGAAGAAAATATCTGCAAGCCACATATCCAACAAAGGTCTTATGTTTGGAATATATAAAGAACTCTCAAAACTAAAAAAAAAAAACAGTCAAATTGGAAAATGGTCAAAAGATATGAACAGATATTTTACCAAAGAAGAGATTTAGATGGCAAATAAGCACATTAAAAAATATCAAGCCCTGGCCGGTTTGGCTCAGCGGTTAGAGCGTTGGCCTGCGGTCCGGAGAGACCCGGGTTCGGTTCCCGCTAAGGGCACGTACTTCGGTTGCAGTTTGTCCCCGGCCCTGGTTGGTCGTGCGGGTGGCAGCCACTCGATGTGTCCCTTCACGTCGATGTTTCTCACTCTCTCTCCCTTCCTCTCTATCCCTCCCACTTTATCTGTACAAAAAATGGAAAAATATCCTCGGGTGAGGATAAAATATATATATATATATATATATATATATATATATATATATCTCAACATTATTAGTCATTCGGGAAATACAAATTAAAACCACAACTACACACCTGTTGCACCATAATATACACCTGTTAGAAAAGCTAAAATATTTAAAATAGTAATAATAAGAAGTGTTGGTGAGGATATGGAGCATCTGGAACTCTTGTCCATTGCTGATGGAATGTAAAATGGCAAATTCACTCTAGAAAATTATTCAGTGAAAACTAACAAGCACTTACCATTTCACTGTACAGTGGCACTCTTAGACATGTATCCTGGAGAAATGGGAACTTATATTCACATATAAACCTGAACATGAATGAACATTCATAGCATTTATTCATAATAGCCCAAAACTGAAGACACATTCCAGTGTCTTTCATTAGGTAAGTGGTTTAACAAACCTGGTACATCCATGCAATCAAGTACTACTCAGTAACAAAAAGGATTAAACTATTGATACATGTAACAATCTGCATGGATCGCAAGGGCATTTTGCTTAGTGGAAAAAAAGCCAGTCTTAAAAGGTGACATACTGTATGAGTCTTTGTATGTAAAATTCTCGAAAAGACATAACTAAACTATAGAGATAGAGAATACATTGGTGGTTGCCAGGGAACAGAGATGAAATTGGGACTTTGAAGAAATATTAAGGAATACCTAGAGGAACTCCTTCGCAGTAATAAAACAGGCCTCTATCTTAGACTGGTGGTGTGCACAAATCTGTATTTGGAATAAAATCGCACAGAACTATATACACAAACACGAATGAATGCATGTAAAAAATATGAAAACTGAAGATCTGTTAATATTTTACAAGTGTTAATTTCCTGATTTTGATGTTATGTGACAAGTATATAAATATCTATACCTTGGAAAAAGCCACCACTGGAAAAAGCTGGGTGAAGGGTACGCAGTTCAGTACTCTATCTACTAGTTGTGTAACCTCCTGTAAATAATTTCAAAATAAAACTTTAAAAAATATCACCTGAGTATATTTTTCCATTTATCTTTAGACAGAGTAGGAAGGAGGGAGAGGGAGACAGAGACAGAGAAACATCGATGTGAGAGAGACACATTGAGTGGTGGCCTCCCATGCAACCCCAACCAGGGCCGGGGACAAACCACAAGTGAGGTATATGCCCTTGGCCAGAATTGAACCCCGGTCTCATTGGTCCACGGGCTGACGCTCTAACCACTGAGCCAAACCAGCCAGGGCAAAAAAATTTATTTTTTTATTTTTTTCAATCCTCACCTGAGGGCATTTTTTTTTTCTATTTATCTAAAGATAGAGTGGGAGGGAGGGAGAGAGAGAGAGAAAAACATCGACATGAGAGGGACACATCGACTGATTGCCTCCCACATGACCCTGACTCAGGCCGGGGTCGTGCCCTTGACCAGAATCAAACCCATGACTCATTGGTCGGCGAGCCGACTCTCTAACCACTGAGACAAACTGGTCAGGGCTAAATAATATATTTTAACTAGATCCTAAAATGGTTAAGTGGGCATTGTTTCTAAAATGAACTTGTTGCATTTATGTGACCCTAAATCTTTCAAGAGTTGGCATTTATATGGTCATGCCCCACTTAACAAAGGGGATGCATTCTGAAAAATGGGTCGTTATGTGATTTTGTTGTTGTGCAAACATCATAGAGTGCACTTACACAAATCTGGGTGGCATAGCCCACCAACCACCTAGGCTATACAGTATCGCCTCGTGCTTCTAGGCTACAAGCCGGTACAGCATGCTACTGTACAAAACGACATGAGTTTAATGAAGCACAAGAGAAAACGATGCCATTGAGAGATGGTAAGCATGAGATGTATGAGGCTGATTGATGCCAGCATAACATGGCATCTGTTTTATGGCAGACTTTTTTTATAAGTAGAAACAGAAAAACTCTAAAATAATGATAAAAAGTGTAGTGTGATAAATACATAAACCAGTAACAGCTGTTTCTTATTATCAAGTCATGTGTACTGTACATAATTGTATGTGCTACATTTTATACAGTTGGCAGCGCAGTAGGTGTATTTACACCAGCATCACCACGGACACTGAGTGCTGTGTTGTGCTACAATGTTGCAATGGCTACAGTGTCACTAGGTGATGGAATTTTTCAGCAACATTATAATCTTATTGGGCCTCTGTTGTGTATGGGGTCCTTTGTTGACCAAAACTTTGTTATAGCTCATGACTATAATTCTTTTCCATTAAGAAAATGTTAAAAATCAAGTATGATATTTATAATAATGTAGAATATATACACATAGGAATAAAGCCTTCATTAAATGATCCTACAATGCTAGTAGTAGTTAGAAAAATGGAGTCATAGGTGATTTGGGGGCCTAGAGTAAGGTGGTTATTTTATAAAAGAGGATATGATAACTATGTAGGGGAAGAGCTGTTCAATATTAGGTATTATATTAGGCTTTTTACATTATCATTTTTTTATTTCTCCCTCCCATCCAAAACCTTAAGGTGTTATTTTACAGACGAGAACACTGAATATCTGAAAACTTGGGTTATTAGTCCAAGCTTTACTAATCCTAGTAATTAATAAATTGAAGAGTTGGGCCCGGCTGGTGTAGCTCAGTGGTTGAGCATTGACCCACGCACTAAGAGGTCGCCGGTTCAATTCCCGGTCAGGGCACATGCTCAGGTTCTAGGCCCAATCCCCAGAGAGGGGCTTGCAGGAGGGGGCCATTCAATGTTCTCTCTCATCGATGTTTCTCTCTCTCCCTCTCCCTTCTTTCTCTAAAATCAATAAAGAAAAAAATAAAATAAAATAAATTGAAGAGTTGAATTTGAGTTTTAGAGCCCATGCTCTTCCTTCCACTATATAATGCAAACGTGGGGAAAGTTCATGATACACAGTGTTATGTTAGAAAAACAATGTGAGATACATGGTATCATCACAGCTTCTAAAAACTATGCATGTAAATGACAGTAGCCATCGTATTAAGGATATATGATTATAGGTTTTTTGTTTTGTTTTTTAACTTTAATGTTATTACATTGCCAATTCAGGTAAAATGTTCTTAGAATTCTAATTTTAAAAATTTTTCATGCAAAGTAATTTTTTATTTTCCCACTGTTTTCATCTTTGCCTTGGGATAAGACTGATTAACTAGAGTATAATTTCAAAATGAGATACAGATATGAAATCAAGACCCTCCAAATAGTGCAGAGCTAACTGTAATTATAGTTTAATCCCTTAGTATTGTTTTGTGCACTTGGACAAGCTTTGTTTGGACCGAAGGAAAAGAATCAGTAATGTAATAACTATGTCCGGCGCCAGGTAGTTCCTAGACTTACCGGCGGCATCACTTCATAAATTATATGAATTTCTAACCACTATGATGTACACCTGAAACTAATATAAAATAATATTGAATGTCAACTATAATTGAAAAATAAAAATGATCTTAGTGCTTTTCATTTTCATAACTGTATGTTAAAATGTGTTATTCCTGAATGGTTATACCGGTATACTAGGTTACTAGGTACGAGAACAAATCATGGCAAAAATACTTGAATAAGGAAAAGCAATTTATTAGATAAGATTCTGCACCATTTAGTCCACTTAACGGTTGTACTTTCAAGTTACTTTTATGCTTTGTCAGACACCTTAATAGTTATCTGACATAGTTCAAATCAAACCGAGTCACCAGGTCCCTGATAGTCAGGAAGCCGCAGGTGACAGGTGCTTCTGTACTCTCCAGGAGTCACTTTGCCATGGCAGTTCTGGGCGCTTTGAGAAATATTTTCTGAACTCTAGATGCCTTTTCTGTCACTCTTAGCTCGGGCAGCACAGTGATGAATACATCCAGAGAAATCAGCAGACTAAGAAGAGGACTCTTGCCAAAAAACGAACCCAGGAACAGCTCAGACCGCGCACGCCGGAACCCGTAGAAGGCAGGAAGCACGTGGACGTGCAAACAGGTGTGTGACCGTGCCACTGGCAGCCGGCGCCTTGGTTTCTGTTTTCTAAGTCAGTGCTTTTTTTGCTTGGCCTTTCTGTTGTTTCTGTATCTGTTGTGTTATCCAGTACTTCCCCAGTCACTTAGTAGAAGTCAGTTCATTAAAAAAATTCATAGACTGCCCAGCTGCTGTGGCTCAGTGGTTGAGCATCGTCCCAGGGACCAAGAGGTCCTGGTTCGATTCCTGGTCAGGGCACATGCCTGGGTGGCAGGCTTGATCCCCAGTAGGGGGCGTGCAGGAGGCAGCTGATCCATGTTTCTCTCTCACATCGATGTGTCTCTCTCTCCCTTCCTTTCTCTCTAAAAAATCAATAAAAACACTTTAAAAAAAATAAAATTCATAGATTTTGTATTATTATTTCATCGGGTACACATGGCAATGTGAGATGAGATGTTTTTTAAAAAAAAAAACAACAAAAAGAATTTTATGACCAGATTCTCTCTTAGTCCTTTTTACATATTTAATTTCAAATTGGGATTATTTCTCACTTTTTTTATAGCCCAACATGAGTCACTGTTGGACTTGCAGGAGAGGAGAGCAGTGGAGTTCAGCTCCGGCCTTGTGTTTGTCTTTAGAGGGGAGTGAGCCCTTCAGCTCCGAGCTCCACCTCCCACAGGGCCGCCCTGCTCTCCTGTCCCTCGCGGCTCCCAGGCCAGTGCCAGGCTTTCCTGCTTGTCCGACTGCTGCTACAGGGGCTTGCCTGGGCCTAGGGGGTCCAGCTGTGCTGTGACAGAATCTTGATAATCAGACGATAGTTGGTATTTTCCACGGACCATGCAGCTACTCAAGGTGCACCTTGCACCCAGCCAAGATGGTGAGTGGGTTCGTCAGTTATTCCTGGTGGTAAGGGCCGAAGGAAGGAACCATTCCGTGCTTTCTCTCTCCCTTGAGGCCAGGTCTAGAATGAGCATGTCTGCGATCAGTCAGTATAGTTGTAATTCTGTGAGAGAGAAATTTTAGTCTTGGTTTATATCATCAGAATATTGATACAGTAGTAGCCACCTTTTGTTGAGTATTTCCTGTATTTCAGAGACTATACCAGGTCCTTTACCTAAGCATCTTCTTTGTTATTAAAAGACTCCATGTGATAGATAATTATGATCCCTTTTACAGACAAAAACTGGGGCCCAGAGAGGATGTCATTTGGCTAGGTTTGTGTTCAACATCTGACTCCAGTTCTCATGTTCTTTGTATGATACCTTACAGCCCTTGCCTCATATAAATTTTTCCTAAGGTGAAATGTGTTTTTATATATATATATCTACTTATAATTTATAGGCTAGAGAGAATATCAAGTAACACAGGAACATGGGGCATAATTTTTAAGTATTCAGGAATGTTCAAATATTTTTATGTTTATTATCTTAGGACTCAATTATAAAGATGGATTATTAACTTTTCATCCCATATTGTACTTTGCATCTTATATACATCTATGATTTTAGTTTCATTTCAAATACAGAACTCAGGCTTTCTTGCTATTCAATAAATACTCTAGCCCGACTGACTCTGTGGTCTTCCAGACATGGGAAAGCCTAGCGCTGCGCATGCGAACTGAGCGCCTCCGTCTGAGCGCTTGCTAGGACTCATTTTCTGACCCATGTCATTCTGTTTTGAAGGAGGTGAAGTTTCAGGTACAGATATATGCTTGAAACAGGCCAGAAATTCAAACTCTGTGTATATGGTATTCTCTTAGAATTATACCTTGAAGAAATTGCTGACCGCGTAATAGAAGTTGACATGGAATGCCAAACAGATGCATTTTTGGACAGACCACCAACACCACTCTTTATTCCTGCCAAAACTGGCAGAGATGTGGCCACCGAAATACTAGAAGGAGAGGTATAGTACATTATTTGAACTTCCCCGTCTTCATTGTAAATAGGTAAAATTAGGTTTAGTTAAAATCTTCATAGGCATACAAACCACAACACAGTCAGAAAGGTTCTATTTACTGGATTTCTTTCCAAATTTATCTCTAATAATTTTATCCTGAAGTACCCAGAAATATTTTTAAATACCATGTTCTAATTTTCCCTCTCTGCTGATCAGAAATAAAAATCATTAGCAGTGTTTTTTATTTTTTATGTGTTTGCATACTTGCTCAATATATGACTATAAGTAGATTTATACCAAATAAGGAAAAATAGTATTTCTGGTATAAAAGATTCTACTATTAGTTGCTTATAGATTATATAACTTTTATGAAGATAATCTATGTTACAGAGTTCTAAAATAATTACATTTTCATATCAACATGGAACGTATCAATTGGCCAGCTGATGACTTGTAAGAAGAGAAGGCAATTCTTATGTGCACAATGACTTAAATGAGGTTTAAGGCTTGAAGGAACTTGAAAGAACTGTCATTGAAATTGAGAAATAAAATAAGTCATAAGCTACATAGGAGAGTATATTTGCCTCTAAATCCTAGAGATGAGTCCCCATAATATCCATTTTCCTTGTTCCTTGGTTGAAAAACAACCAGTAAAAATTGAGTAGAAAAGACAGGGGATAAGAAAGACAAGGATAGTTCTCTTGGATTTCAGAGTTCGCTCTTAAAATTGTTGAGTATCAGGGTTCATTTTGACTGCATAGATCTTTTTTTTTTCTTTATTGACTTTAGAGAGCGAGGAAGGGAAAGGGAGAGAGAGTTAGAAACGTTGATGAGAGAGAACATCGATCGGCCGCCTCCTGCATGCCCCATACTGGGGATCGGGCCCACAACCTAGGCATGTGCCCTGACTGGGAGTCGAACTGTGGCAGCCTGGGTCAGTGCTCAACCACTGAGCCACCCTGGCTGGGCTGACTGCATAGATCTTTTTATAACCGTCTTAATTTTGCCTTTAAACAAAATGCTCTTCTATGTGCCGTGCAGGGCTGTTTTGAGGGTTGGAAACCTTAAATAAAGCACCAGCACAGTGTCTGGCACACAGAAGGCACTCAATATATAGTATCTTGTTGTTGCTACTGTTCTGGATATTTTTTTCAGTGAGCATTTGATTCATGATTAAAACTTGAAGTTTGCTTTGTTTTGTGTATTTAAGCTCTTTGACTTTGATCTTGAAGTTAAACCAATGTTAGAAGTTCTAGTGGGAAAGACCATTGAGCAGGCGCTCCTGGAAGTGATGGAGGAGGAGGAGCTGGCCAACCTGCAGGCCAGTCAGCATGCATATGAAGAGCTGCGCAATATGGAACTTGCGGAAGTTCAGAGACTTGAAGAGCAGGAGAGGAGACACCGAGAGGAAAAGGTAGAGATTTGCATTTTTCTTTCTTAGACAGTCTTCTGGCTATATAACAAATTATGTTCAAAATGAAATGTGATATGTTATAGAACGAAAGATCTTTGGAAATATGCTAGAAAAGACCTGGAGTATTTGTTCAGGTCTCTCCTGTTCTGTAGATCAAAGATTCTTCATGAGCTGAATTACATTTTTTAAATTCCAGCATATATAAATATACCTAAATAGAGTTCCCCAAAATTCCTAAATGGAATAATTTAAATTACATGTGTCCCGACTGAAAGGCACTCTTGAATGTCAAGGGCCCTACTGAAAGGAATAGATTGATTTGCCAAAAGTTAGCGGCAGAAAAGGTGGGAGGAGAAGGGAGTATACCCGAGACACACCCTCAGGGATTACACCAGAATCACTTGGGTCCTTATAGAATATTTTTTAGATTATGGGTTTTTAGAACCTTTAATAAGGAAAATTTGGGAATCCAGTTTTTAAAATGTGCCACTAACCTCCAATTAGGAAACATGAGGCTCCGTGTGTCTGGCTGTGACGGTCACCTTATGTTTTACTCTGGAAGGATCAGTTACAAAGGAGCGCCTGTATACCCAAAACAGTTCAGACTAATTTCCCCGAAAGTCCCACTTATTACCCAGAAATGCTTAGTTGTTGGGATATTCTACTCAATACCTAATCAAATGGACTTTGAATATCCCTCCAAAATGAATAATTAATTATAAAGAGCAAATGGCTTATGATAAAGACTGTGCAAATGCAAAACACTTTGTTTACAAATAGAAAATGAACACTGACAGCCCTGGCCGGTTTGGCTCAGCGGTTAGAGGGTTGGCCTGCGGTCTACAGAGACCCGGGTTCGGTTCCCGCTAAGGGCATGTACTTCGGCTGCAGTTTGTCCCCGGCCCTGGTCAGGTCGTGCGGGTGGCAGCCACTCGATGTGTCCCTTTCACGTCGATGTTTCTCTCTCTCTCTCTCTTCCTCTCTCTCCCTCCCACTCTATCTGAACAAAATATCGAAAAATGTCCTCGGGTGAGGATAAAAAAAAAAAAAAAAGAAAAGAAAATGAACACTGACAAAATTAGATTTGTTGAAATAAGCAGTGAAATCTATCAAAGAATATGTATATTTTAGTTTATTTACTATTAGGAAATATATTATGAAAACAAGAATACAAATAATCTAGATTTATATTTGCTTAAACTTTGAAAATACACTTAATTAGAAAATATATTGCTCCCACTTGTACATGGGAGTAGAGAAGACAGCCCATTAGCTTTATAGAGATTGTATGATCCACAAAAAGCAACAACAAAAATAGGTTTTATACATTTTAGAACTTTATGACTCCAAAAAATCATTACAAATGAGACAGTTCATTGGCCAAGTTCTATACTGAAGACATCTCAGCAACTATAATTTTCATACCAGTAATGCTTATGATACTACTACATAAAAATACATATATTATAATCCTTTGATATTATTTATACAGTCAAACATGTATATCTTGAAATTGTTTTTACTTAAAAGTGGAACAGGAGATGAATTTTACCATAAGCTCCCTCTTTTTTCTGAGTTTAGTACCTCCTAGCTGTTGAAATTCATTAAAATTTTTATGGAAAATATGAATCTTTAATAGACACACACCTTGCTGTCCATCGTTCTGATACAAATACAAGTCCAGATTCTTGCTTGCACTAGCGCCAGGGTTTGGGGGGACGGGCCGCTGGAACCGTGACCGGCTCTGTCTGCGCAGGAGCGGCGGGGTTTGGGGGGACGGCAGCGGACCTGACCGGCTCTGTCTGGCACTAGCACTGGAGTTTGGGGGGACGGCAGCGGACCTGACCGGGTCTGTCTGCGCACTAGCACTGGGGTTTGGGGGGACGGCAGCGGGACCTGGCCGGCTCTGTCTGCGCACTAGCACCGGGGTTTGGGGGGACGGCAGGGGACCTGACCGGCTCTGTCTGCGCACTAGCACTGGGGTTTGGGGGGACGGCAGCGGACCTGACCGGGTCTGTCTGCGCACTAGCACCGGGGTTTGGGGGGACGGCAGGGGACCTGACCGGCTCTGTCTGGCACTAGCACCGGGGTTTGGAGGGACGGCAGGGGACCTGACCGGCTCTGTCTGGCACTAGCACCGGGGTTTGGAGGGACGGCAGGGGACCTGACCGGCTCTGTCTGGCACTAGCACCGGGGTTTGGAGGGACGGCAGCGGACCTGACCGGCCCTGTCTGGCACTAGCACCGGGGTTTGGAGGGACGGCAGGGGACCTGACCGGCTCTGTCTGCGCACTAGCACCGGGGTTTGGGGGGACGGCAGCGGGACCTGACCGGCTCTGTCTGCGCACTAGCACCGGGGTTTGGGGGGACGGCAGCGGGACCTGACCGGCTCTGTCTGCGCACTAGCACCGGGGTTCGGGGGGACGGCAGCGGGACCTGACCGGCTCTGTCTGCGCACTAGCACCGGGGTTCGGGGGGACGGCAGGGGACCTGACCGGCTCTGTCTGGCACTAGCACCGGGGTTCGGGGGGACGGCAGGGGACCTGACCGGCTCTGTCTGCGCACTAGCACCGGGGTTTGGGGGGACGGCAGGGGACCTGACCGGCTCTGTCTGGCACTAGCACCGGGGTTTGGGGGGACGGCAGCGGGACCTGACCGGCTCTGTCTGGCACTAGCACCGGGGTTTGGGGGGACTGCAGGGGACCTGACCGGCTCTGTCTGGCACTAGCACCGGGGTTCGGGGGGACGGCAGGGGACCTGACCGGGTCTGTCTGCGCACTAGCACTGGGGTTTGGGGGGACGGCAGGGGACCTGACCGGGTCTGTCTGCGCACTAGCACGGGGGTTTGGGGGGACGGCAGGGGACCTGACCGGCTCTGTCTGCGCACTAGCACCGGGGTTTGGGGGGACGGCAGGGGACCTGACCGGCTCTGTCTGGCACTAGCACCGGGGTTTGGAGGGACGGCAGGGGACCTGACCGGCTCTGTCTGGCACTAGCACCGGGGTTTGGAGGGACGGCAGGGGACCTGACCGGCTCTGTCTGGCACTAGCACCGGGGTTTGGAGGGACGGCAGCGGACCTGACCGGCTCTGTCTGGCACTAGCACCGGGGTTTGGAGGGACGGCAGGGGACCTGACCGGCTCTGTCTGCGCACTAGCACCGGGGTTTGGGGGGACGGCAGCGGGACCTGACCGGCTCTGTCTGCGCACTAGCACCGGGGTTTGGGGGGACGGCAGCGGGACCTGACCGGCTCTGTCTGCGCACTAGCACCGGGGTTCGGGGGGACGGCAGCGGGACCTGACCGGCTCTGTCTGCGCACTAGCACCGGGGTTCGGGGGGACGGCAGGGGACCTGACCGGCTCTGTCTGGCACTAGCACCGGGGTTCGGGGGGACGGCAGGGGACCTGACCGGCTCTGTCTGCGCACTAGCACTGGGGTTTGGGGGGACGGCAGGGGACCTGACCGGCTCTGTCTGGCACTAGCACCGGGGTTTGGGGGGACGGCAGCGGGACCTGACCGGCTCTGTCTGGCACTAGCACCGGGGTTCGGGGGGACGGCAGGGGACCTGACCGGCTCTGTCTGGCACTAGCACCGGGGTTCGGGGGGACGGCAGGGGACCTGACCGGGTCTGTCTGCGCACTAGCACTGGGGTTTGGGGGGACGGCAGGGGACCTGACCGGGTCTGTCTGCGCACTAGCACTGGGGTTTGGGGGGACGGCAGGGGACCTGACCGGCTCTGTCTGCGCACTAGCACTGGGGTTCGGGGGGACGGCAGGGGACCTGACCGGCTCTGTCTGGCACTAGCACCGGGGTTCGGGGGGACGGCAGCGGACCTGACCGGCTCTGTCTGGCACTAGCACCGGGGTTCGGGGGGACGGCAGGGGACCTGACTGGCTCTGTCGGGGTTCGGGGGGACGGCAGCGGACCTGACCGGCTCTGTCTGGCACTAGCACCGGGGTTCGGGGGGACGGCAGGGGACCTGACCGGCTCTGTCGGGGTTCGGGGGGACGGCAGCGGACTGACCGGCTCTGTCTGCGCAGGAGCGGCGGAAGCAGCAGCAGTGGGAGGTGACGCACAAGCACAAGGAGACGTCGCAGAAGATCGCCTCGCGCGCCTTCTCGCAGCGCTACCTGTCCGACCTGCTGCCCTCCGTGTTCGACAGCCTCAGGACGGCTGGCTACTTCTTCGACCCCGTGGAAAGAGGTTTGTGGACGTTTTTATTAGATTAACTCTGCTGACAATAAACATCATCTTAACAGTTCAAATGTATATCCTGCCCATTTTTATTTTGAATTGGACTTTGCATCTCTGAAGCAAATTAAAAAGTCAGTTATCATTGTTTTAAGTAAATGCTATTACTAGTAAGTGTATTATAAAGATCTTGATTTTAGGATGTTTGTCTTTTTTTTTTTTAATTTGTTTTCTTTATTGATTTGAGAGAGAGGAAAGGAGAGAGAGAGAGGGAGGGAGGGAGAGAGAGAGAGAGAGACCATCGATTGGCCGCCTCCTGCATGCCCCCCACGGTGGATCTGGCCCACAACCCAGGCATGTGCCCTGACCGGGAGTCCAACCGGTAACCTCTTGGTGCAGGGTCAACCCTCAACCACTGAGCCACAACAGCTGGGCTAGTTTGTCTTTATTCAGAAACAACGTTGGATAGTGGAAAAATATATGGACTTGATGTGAAAAAGTTTGAGGTTGGGACCCAGCCTCATCATTAAATAGCTTTATGACCTTCAGTTTTCCTGTGAAATGAGGATTATTTAGTAATTAAAGGTCATAATATATAAGAAACTTCTGTAAGCTGTGAAGCACTGTGTGTGTAAGTGGTTATTAACTTCTCAGCTGATTCCCTATTTAATAAAAACCCTTTGGGGGCAGCAGTTAAGGTCACTTGTTTATGAGTTAGGTGTTGGCACCTCGCAGGCATTGTGTTAGGTGTGGAGATAAAAAAGCCAAACCTGCCTTGGCCAGTTTGTCTCAGCAGTTAGAGTGTCAGCCCGAGGACCAATGAGTCGCGGGTTCGATTCCAGCCAAGGGTACGTACCCCAGTTGGGGTTCTTCCCTGGCCCTGGTCAGGATTGTGCAGGAAGCAGCCAGTCGATGTGTCCCTCTCACATTGATGTTTTTCTCTCTCTCTCTCTTTTCCTCTCTCTCCCTCCCACTCTATCTGAAGATAAATAAAAAAAATATCCTCAGGTGAGGATAAAAAAAATCCAGACTTGTCAGTGTGCCCTCAGGGCCACCTCCCCTCAGCGCGCCTGGTCTCACTGTCACCTGCTTCCTCGGTGCAGGGTACCTAGATCCACAGTGCTGGGTGCACGGGTCCTATTCCAAATGGCTAATAGTGTTTGGGGGCAGATGTTGGTAATGTTCATTTTCACTGATTACATATTCAATTCAATACCCAGAGGTCAGATTACACACCAATATTACTAGTTCACATTTATATTATGCTTTCTAATTTAGATAGTTGCGATGCTCCCAATAACCCCGTGGGGTGGGTAGGGCAGGTCAGTTCCCGTTCACGCCCACTGCCCTGCTCCCTGCTCCCAGCCCCCCGCCCAGGAAGCATGCGTGCTCAGGCTGACCCCAGCCCTGAGTCCGGGTGCAGGGCGCCAGGCGCCAGGCTGCCACCATCTCGCTGTTCTAGTCACACAGGCCAGCAGCCTTCCTTCCTCTCAGGAATTTCTGAAAAACTCAGTTATAAATCATTTAAAAGCTTGCACATAGATTCATGCCTAGCTTTAAATTATTGATGGCGGTGAATGTAATATTCTATCACACTGTTGTCACCCCACTGAAAAATAAAAATTAGATGCCTACCCTCAAAAATGTTATTTTTGAACATTAAAATGTACATTGTAATGGACCATGTTTTTAAAAGGCTTACACAGTAGTAAATTGGCATTTCAGCATGAACAGCTTTATCACTATGGAGACCCCTAGTTTCTAGAGGGCCTTCTTCTCAGATGCCCTCTGACCTGCATCCGGAGTCTTCAGGTGCTGTTAGCCCCAGGCAGGTGGGGCATGTTTTCACAGGCATTGCTCCATGTAATGCCATGTTGGCACTGCATGTAGATTGCACTTCCGCGCCCAGGTGCACGTCCCCACCCCCCTCACCTCCTTGATCCATCTCAGGTGCACCTGCAAAGTCAGCTCTAAAGGCTGTGGCTCCAAGGAAGGCTCCTAGTTTGGGAAATACTATTTCTACTGCAAGAGAAAGGAAACGGACCAGAATAGAGAGAGAGTATGGCCAAACTAATGCTGTGTCAGTCTGTTTAACATTTTGAATTAAGAAAATGATGTTCATAATATTGACATTGTAACATTGGGGGAAAACAGATTCTTCCTATCTATAATGATTCATAAAACTTACTTAATAATTAGAATTCATTTTTTTATCATAGATATTGAGCTAGGCTTCCTTCCATGGCTGATGAATGAAGTTGAAAAATCCATGGAACACAGCACGGTGGGGAGGACAGTGCTTGACAGTAAGTTCGTCTTAACGTCATCTCTAAGATTTTTCAGTAGAAAGACTAAATAGAGGAAGGATGTTAATTTTACAGTTTTAGTTCTTAATTTTTCAGTATATCAATTATATTAACTAACCAAGGTGCAGATTTTTAACCTCAATATTGTTTTCGGTTCTTCTGTACTATATAAAGTATAAGTTGTTAAAATGGGCATTGAATATACAGTAGCTCATATTTGATTCATTAAGTGACTCAGAAGGTAAGCACACCTGACTTTATGTAGAAGGTTGTGATGTGGGGAAGGGGCGAGGTCTGGTGAATGTTTCATACGCATCTGTAAATCTGTATTATAATTATAACTGCTAAAATACAAAGACATCACAGTGACTTCTGTACATACAATTTTCCAGTGTTGATTCGTGAGGTGGTTGAGAGGAGACTGACGATGTATGAACATAAGGAGGACAGACCACCCGAGGACGGACGTGCTTCTGGAGGGATGAGAGACCCACCGATGGGCTATGAATTCCAGGAACAAAACACATCGCATTCACAGAGGTCACTTCTGAACACAGACTCCCCGAAAAGATCCCCATACAATGGAAGATACACAGAAAGTGTATCATCCCAAGAAAGGAAGCTAATGGAAGAAGAAGAAGAAGAAGAACCCATAGAACTGAAGAGATCCTTAGGGAGGGAAGGACAGTCACAGCAGGGAGCCTGGGACCGGTGAAACCCTCACAGCCCCTCAGCAGTGCACGCAATCAGGTAATGACATGGGAGGCCCCTCCGGCCACGCAAATTATGTCGAATATAATCAACATGTCTTTTTGTCTAATGGACTGGGCAAATCGAATATGTTGAAATAATAAAACTAATAATAAGTGAACCATAAATACTTCATTTATTTAATAGTAGAATATCTAGAAGTTATAACTTATGAGAATTATGCTTAGCTCTGGTTGGTTTTGCTCAGCGGTTAGAGCATCAGCCCATAGACAGAAGGGTCCCTGTTCAGTTTCTGGTCAAGGGCACGTATCTGGGGTGCAGGTTTGATCCCTGGCTCCAGCTGGGGTTGTGCAGGAGGCAGTCAATTGATGTGTCTCTCTGACATTGATGTTTCTCTATCTTCTTCCCTCCCTCCCTTCCTTCCACTCTCTCTAAAAATCAATGGGAAAATATCCTCCGGTGAAGATTAAAAACAAAAATTATGCTTAATTGCAAGCTTCCCATTATTGCTATATATAACTAACAAATATATTTTTCTTTAATCTTTCTAATTTGTAGGTTTTTTGTTTATTTTTTAGTAAATATCCAATAATGTTAGATATCAGTGATGTCAACCATTAAGCTTTCCTTCTCTATAGCAGTGGTTTTCGGCGGGTATGCCAAGGTGCACTAGTTACCACGAGAATTTTTTATTGCTCTTTGTCTCGTCTGCTGCGAGGATGAAGACCGTGCTGAGCAATCAGACTGTCCACCCGGAAAATGTGGACCTCACTCTGAAGGGACGCCCAGTTATTGTGAAGAGGCCCAGAGGCACCCTGAGGAGGGACTGCGATGTTCCACATCGATGTAGAACTCTGTCTCCTTGGAAAGGAAAGGAAGAGGCTCCGGGCTGACAATGGTGCGGAATAGAAAGGAGCTGGCCACGGTTCTGTCTGCGGCCCCGTGCAGAACAGGATCGAGGGTGTTCCACTGGGCTCCGTTACAAGACGAGGTCGTACGCTCACTTCCCCATCCACACCTTCACTCGGGAGATGGTTCTCTTGCTGAAATCAGATTCCTTGGGTGAAAAACATCCGCAGAGTTTGGATGAGGTCAGGTGTCGCTTGTTCAGTAACTCAAGCCCAGAAAGATGAGTTGATTCTTCAAGGAAAAGACAGTGAACTTGTATCAAATTCAGCTATTTTGATTCAGTAGGCCACAACAGTTAAAACCAAGGATATCAGACAAATGTTTGGATGGTATCTATGTTTCTGAAAAAGGAACAGTCCCACAGGCTGATGAATAAGATCTAAGTTGCCCAGCTGTACAAACAGCAGGATGCCGAATGATTTGTCACACTTGTTTGTGATATTTTAAAAATGCAACAAAAGCCTTGTATTTAAAAAAAAAGAATTTTTTATTGATTTTAGAGAGGAAGGTGAGGAGAGAGAGAAATATCAAAATGAGAGAGAAACATCAGTTGATTGCCTCCTGTGCATGCCTAGACCAGGGATCAAACCCACAACCTAGGTACATGCCCTGACCAGGAATCAAACCCACAACCTAGGTACATGCCCTGACCAGGAATCAAACCCACAACCTAGGTATATGCCCTGACCAGGAATCAAACCCACAACCTAGGTATATGCCCTGACCAGGAATCAAACCCACAACCTAGGTATATGCCCTGACCAGGAATCAAACCTACAACCTTTTTTTGGTGTAGGGACAACGCTCCAACCGAGTCACCCAGCCAGGACAGACTTTTCAACTTTAATACATATCAACCTCTTGTTAAAATATGGTAAGATATTACATATTTTAACTATTATAGTATAGGGAATTCACATTTGACCTTTTATTTATTTAATCCTCACCCAAGGATATTTTTCCATTTATCTGCAGATAGAGTGGGAGGGAGACACAGAGAGAGAGAAAGAAACATCAGTGTGAGAGAGATATATTGATTGGTTGCCTCCTGCACAACCAGGACCAGGGATGAACTACAAACAAGGTGCGTGCCCTTGGCCCGAATCGAACCTGGGACTCTTTGATCTGTGGGCCAAAGCTTTAACCTCTGAGCCAAACCGACCAGGGCCACATTTGACTTTTAAATCTGAACTTGTTTGGAGAATTTACCTGTACAATTGAAAATCAGATATTTTATCTCTAAAGTCATGTTAATCTTAAGCAATAACTGAAGTCTTCTGAGGCTTGGGGTAGATACAGCCTATCTCAGAATACTTATAGATATATAAGCTGGAGTGGTTTGAAATAACTTGTAGTTAGTTATTAACACATTTACCTTAATTTCTTATTTTGTTTTGTTTTGTTTTATCCTCACCCAAGGACACTTTTTTGCATTTATCTTCAGATAGAGCGGGAGGGAGAGAGGGAGGAAGAGAGAGAGAGAAACATCCATGTGAGAGACACACATCGAGTGGCTGCCACCCACACAATCCAGGACTGGGGACAAACTGCAACCGAGGTACGAGCCCTTAGTGGGAACTGAACCCACGTCTCTCTGGACCCCGGGCTGACGTTCTAACTGCTGAGCAAAACTGGCCAGGGCCACCTTAATTTCTTTTTAAGTTAGGTACCAACAAGGTATCCATATTTAACAGTGGAGAAAGAATGTCCTTCTCCAGTTGTAAAAGGGACTTGCACTGTATCACTGTATAGCACTGTATGGTTCTCAAAGCATTTCCCACATGTCACCGCATCGTCTGCACCTCACGGGGCCCCTTCTGAAGTATGTGGACAGTATTTCGCTTCCGGCCTCAGTCATCAGTGCGGTCAGCCAGTGCGCATGAGCCGAGAGCCTGCGGTGCGCCAGCACCCGTGGAGCCCGCAGAACAGTCTAGCAGCGGGGCCACGGGAAGCGGGGTGAAGGAGCGAACCGCAGCTCGGGGGTTGAAAGTGATTGCCATCGGTGACCAGCCCACCAAGGAAGAGGCTGAAAGCTAGAACCCAAATCTTCTTACTTCTAATCTAGCACTTTCATCCAAACAACCCTGAGCCCTTGTGGGGTACAAAGAATAACTTTAAATAAATTATTGCATTTAAAAATTGGAATTTCATCTGTTTTCCATTGCTGGGTTAGTTCCATCTTGTTAAACAGTCTTCCTGATCATGCTAACATTTACAAGATTAATTTTGGCAAGAAGACTGGAAAATTTTTTAAATGAGGGTTGTTGCTGATTATTATTATTATTATTGATTTTACAATACCTACAATTTTAAGAATGCTTTCCAAATAGATTTGATATCGTCTTCGACAAATTCGAATCCTTTTTTACAATAATCCAGTCTACTAAGCACTTCACAGATACTTTAATAAACATTCAGACCTGTGCTCTGTAATTCCATAAGTTAAGTCAGTTTATTAAAATATACAGAATTCTGCTCTGGCCAGTTTGGCTCAGCAGTTAGAGCATCGGCCTGCAGTCCAGAGAGACCCGGGTTCGGTTCCTGCTAAGGGCATGTACTTCGGTTGCAGTTTGTCCCTGGCCCTGGTTGGGTCGTGCAGGAGGCAGCCACTGGATGGCATCCAAGCCATTGTGACTTTTGTCTATATTCTATAGCTCAATAGCCATTTCTCTCAATTTATTTAGGATAAAGGCATTCTGAAAAGGCTCCAACACAGGTTTAATTGCCTCATAGACCAATTTGCATCTATTGTTTCTTAGCCATAATTCCAAGGTCTTATCAGAACCAACCTTTACAAGCTTGCACATAGTCAGAAATATAAACAAGAATATTGCAAATAGGGTGTCACTATCATTAAAAAGTATTGTTACTAGTATTGGATTGGTGTCTATAATTGTCACTTTGAATTAGGGCATATTTACCTTTGTATTTTAGTGCCTTTAACTTACAAATTAAAATTTAATAATTTTTCTATTTTCCATAAATTATGAAAATATTAAACTGAAGTATATGAGTTAAAAGATAAAGTAATGGTATTATAAGTTTGCTTATAAATAAAATCAAGATACTTAAAACTTTGAAATTTCAGGATAAAAATATCTTAAAGATAACATTTAAACAATTTTCAATCCATTAAAAAATAGAGTTTAAAGCATGAATATCCCTGGCAAGTGTGGCTCAGTTGGTTGGGGGTCATCCCACCCACCAAAAACTTGCCGGTTCGATTCCCTGTCAGGGCACATGCCCAGGTAGCAGGCTCGATCTCGATCCCCAGTAGGGGCCATGCAGGAGGCAGCTGATTGATGTTCTGCTCTTACATTGATGTGTGTGTGTCTCTCTCCCTTCCTCTCTCCTAAAAATCTATTTAAAATCTTATTTAAAAACATGAATAGCCCGGCTGGTGTGGCTCAGTGATTGAACATGGATCCATGCACCAAGAGGTCACTGGTTCGATTTCCGGTCAGGGCACATGCCCAGGTTGTGGGCCTGATCCCCAGTGGAGGGCCTGCAGGAGGCGGCCAGTCAGTGTTCTCTCATCATGTTTCTATTTCTCTCTCCCTCTCCCTTCCTTTTCTCTCTCTCTAAAATCAATAAAGAAAATAAATATTCTTTTAAAAAACATGAATAAATTTTTATTGCTGTGCACTTAATACTTTCTATAAATGTTGAATATTTTTATTTTTATAATAATTGTGTATATTACTAACATTTTTATTATATAGATATCCATATTTACCACTAGGTGTCAGTAAAATCCTAAGGTAAAGTTAACTTGCCTCCAACTTCATACATAATTTAATGACCATAAAGAGACTTTAGTAGACAGAGTTCAAAAATAGATTGTATTCCTTGGAGTCTCTAGACTCACACTGAATATATTTTTTTATATCATTTTTTTATTTGTAATTAAAGTTGACATTATATTAGTTTCAAGTGTACATCTCAGTGATTAGACATTATATAACTTAATAAATCATCGTCCCACAAATCCCGCACCTGCCCTGGCTGGTTTGGCTCAGCAGTTAGAGAGTTGGCCCGAGGACCAGAGAGTCCTGAGTTCAGTTCCTGCTGAGGGCACGTACCCCGGTTGCGGTTTGTCTCCGGCCCCTGTTGTCTCTCTCACA